TTCGGTGAGATATATTTATTTTAATCTTTTGCCATTTTGGAGACTGGTTGTTCTTTTTTAAAAAATCTTTGTGATTTAATGGTTCTTTTTAAAAGAAATTTAACTTCTTTATTGATTCTTTGGAAGTTTCACATCAAGCAACCCAGTTCTGCTTAACTCCTGGTTCCCCCACATCCTCCCCTCATCCCTGCAATACCTCCCCACACAAAAGAAAACAAAGCAAGCAAGCAAGCAAACAAAACAAGAACAAAACAAACAAACAAACAATAAAACCTCTTTGCTTCTCCTTCTTCCCTGCCTTCCCAACACCTCTTGTTTCATCCTGGTGGCATTGGAGCTTCAGTGTGTCACTTAGTATACCCTTTTGTCCTATCAGCTTTTTGGCAAATGTTCATTGCAATGAGTCACTGGTCTGGTTCAAGGCCGCTGGTTTTTGATACATCATCGTCACTGGATCCTCACCAGAACTCCTCTGGGATATCCCACAGCATCCCCGAGTCACGGAGATCCTGCAGGCATTGTTCCACAGGATCACAAGCTCCAGCAGGTCCGTACATGGGGTAGGTATTAGAGTGTGCTGTGGGCCTGGCTGGTAGCTGAGTTGGTCAGTCTGGGCCATTGGGGTCACCTGCCTCAGGCAAAGGGGCGAAGTCAGCACCCTACAACAATGTCCTCGGGGTTGGTTCTCTCTTACCTGTGGTGAGGAGTGGGGCCATCTCTTCTGAGTGCAGTGACTAGCTCTCCCACGATGGTCAGGGTCAGCTCTCGCTGCAGTGTTCAGTGAGAAGCAAGGCCAGTTTTCCCTGGGCCAGTGAAGAGCCGGGCCAGCTCAGCATGGACCTCTGATTTCATCTCTCATGATTCCTAAGGGCCCTATTGGCTCCGTGAATCCCAGAATTCAAACATAGTCCCCAGCTACAACTGGTCCACTGACCCAGACATGTCCTAGGCAGCAACTCAGCCCGGTTGACATCCTAGCTCCAAATGGTAGCCTTGACCACTCAAATCAGGATACCGTTGGGAGCAGCATGGCCCCCAGACACCAACAAAGCCACAAGTTGTGGCCCATACTTCTCACAGACCCAGATGTAGTCCTTGCCAGCAGCCTGGATTTGGTTGTCACCATGGCCCTAGGTGGTGCCCCAGACCAGCAGAATCGGCATGTCTCTCGATGACAACAGGAGCCTGGGCATCAACACAGAACCTGGCTACTGTAGGATGAGGAACCCAAAAATGACCCTTGGCAGGAGCCCAGCCCTGACATCACCATAGCCCCGGGTGGCAAGCAGGCTTCTAACACCAGCCTACTCCTCACCATTTTCATTCTTCCTTTCTGCCTCTTTCCACATTGCATGAACCGGTCTGCTTTTCTTTCCTTTCTCTCCCATTTCTCCACCACATGAGCTTACCATAATGGGGCCCATGGATGTCTTATCACCAGCCAGGGCCTTGAGGACCCTGGCAGGCCTGTGGCTAGCTAGTCCCCGTCTGTGCAGAATTGCATGGCATGTCTTCCCTTAATAGTTCTTTATATATTCTGGATACAGGTCTATTTTTTATTAGATATGAATTGCAAATATTTTCTCCAAGTCTGTTTGCTTTTCATTTTCTTAACTTTTTTTCGTGTTTTTTTTTTTCTGTGTAACCTTGGCTGCCCTGGAATTCCCTCGGTAAATCAGGATGGCCTTGAATTCAGAGATCCACCTGCTTCTGCCTCTCAAGTGCTGGGATCAAAGGCATGCAGGACCAACACTCATTCACTTTCTTAGTTTTTTGAAAAGCAAAAATAAATCTTGATAAAGCACAGTTCATCCATGTTTGTTTTCCTGAATTGTGCATTTAGTGGTGCATCTTGGAAATCTTTGCCTAATTTAAGATCTTGAAGACTCTCCCTATATTTTCTCTTACAAGGTTTAGGTTTTTGGCTATATGAGTCATTTTAGGTTTAGATTTAATATATGATAAAACTATAGATTTCTGGATAGTTTACTGGAAAGATAAATTTTAAGAGAATATTGTGACAGAGAAAATTCAGCGTCTTACTCAGTCATGTATTGTTCTTCCTAAGCACACAGAAGAGTGCATCTTCCAGTTTCCTTACATGTAGTTAAGTATGATTGTCTTAATCTACACCATGACTCTCAACCTGACCCCCTTGGGGTTGAAAGACCCTTTCACAGAGGTTGTGTACTGGATATCCTGCATTTTAGATACTTACTCTATGATTAATAGCAGCAGCAAAATTAGACTCATGAAGTAGCAATGAAATAGTTTTATGGTTGGGGGGTCACCACAACATGTATTAAAGGATCACAGCATTAGGAAAGTTGAGAATCACTAGTCTGTATAATATTGAGAGAGATAATGTGCCATCTTCTTAATTTCTCCATGCAACTCTTTGCATGATCATGCACACTCCCCATATATATTTTTAGGCAAACTCCACTGCCATGTGTCCAAAATAGCAGAACTACAAAAGGATTTCAGATCCTGAACTAGCACAGAAAAGACCACTATTTTAGTTATTTACTGCTGTATAACAAACTACCCAAAACCTGAGTGATTCATATAACAGTGTTTCATAATCTCTTTGATTATCAGTTGACTGTGCTCAGTAATGGTTCTTGCTTTGGACCTTGCACAATTACTGGCATTTGTGGCCTAGGGCATAGTTGATCATCTGATGACTTGGGTGGAGATGCCTATGTCCTAGGGTCTTATCTGGGTTCACCAAGCAGTATGTTGACACTTGGTCTCTACATGTAGCCCCAGAATCTCAGCCTGGTGGTTGGGTTTCTAGAGGAGGCATCCCATTTCTGATAGCTATACATATATGTGTGTATATATATGTGTGTGTGTATTCATATATTTTCATTATATATAATATTCATTTTATATATATGTACATATGGCCAACTAATTAAAGACTATACCTAGTAGGTTCAACATCATCTCTACTATATTCTATTGATCATAGTGGTCACAGGGCCTGGATTGAAGAGGACAGTAAATGTTGCTCTTGATTGGACATTGGCAAAATCCCATCACTGAATAGCATATGTCACCGGCCTCTTAAGGGATACCGTATTTCATGTCTTGTCATCAGAACTGTTTTAAACATATTGATGGCAAGTGTGAAGCAAGCATTTATGATTGTTACAGGTTTCTGTTCCCTTCACTTAAAACGTAACAGTGCTCATCTCTCCCCACAATGCTTATTTTCTACCAGTTATGTTTTCTGGGTTACTATTGCTACCCAGTTCTCTTACATCTTGGTTTAACACTTTATTTTCCCATTCGTTTCCTCTGTAGTAGATATTTTGCATTGTTCCCCTTCTCTTAGTTGTTTGCTATGTTTGATGATTTGTTTACTGAGTATGTTTATGATGATAGTGTACAGTCTTGGTATACTACCATAAATTATTTATTTTATAATGATGAATGCTATAATTATTTTTTTTTTGTTTTTGTTTTTGTTTTACGAGACAGGGCTTCTCTGTATTGTTTTGGAGGCTGTCGGTCCAGCCCGGCCTCGAACTCACAGAGATCTGCCTGCCTCTGCCTCCCGAGTGCTGGGATTAAAGGCGTGTGCCACCATGGCCCGGCTAATTCTTTAACTCTATTTGTTAATTCTGCCCCCCAACAATCTCTATATTTTAAATTTCACATGACATTATCATTGCTGTTTTAAACAGCCAATACTTACCCCATTTTTCTCTTCTTAAGGGTACTTTTCATCACTTTTTACACTCGTGTGTTTTCACCTGTCATTTTCTTTTCACTTAAAGAACCCCAAGGTTTCCTTTGACATGAGTCTGCTGGAAACAATTCTTGCTAAGTTTTGTTTCTCAGAAGATGCTTTTTTGTGCTTTTCTTTCCTTTTCTTCTCCCCCTATCCCTTGGCTGTTCATTTGTTTTGTGAGACAGTGTCCCACTTTGTAGCTCTGGCTGTCCTGGCACTCACTATATAACCCAGCCTAACCTTGAGTTCACAGAGATAAGCTGCCTCAGCCTCTAGGACACAGGGATTAAAGGCGTATGGTGGCTTTGCTTTTATTTCTTAAGGATGTTTCTGTTGAATCTGAATTTGTAGATACTGTTGGTATTTTGTTACTCATACATTCATAAATGATCAGCAATACAACATAAAATCTGAGTATGTATTTGGGATCATCTATTTGGTTCTACATTCGTAATGAAATAATACTCTTGATTCCTTATTAATGTCAAAGCACTGCTGAAGATATTGGCTCAGTGGGCTTATTTATACATATGCTGTTACTTTCTACTGGGGATAATTACAGTTTCTTTCCTTCCTTCCTTCCTTCCTTCCTTCCTTCCTTCCTTCCTTCCTTCTTTCTTTCTTTCTTTCTTTCTTTCTTTCTTTCTTTCTTTCTTTCTTTCTTTCTTTCTTTCTTTCTTTCTTCTTTTTTTCCAAGACAGGTTTCTCTGTGGCTTTGGAGGCTGTCCTGGAACTCGATCTAGAGACTAGGGAGGCCTTGAACTCACAGAGATCCTCCTGCCTCTGACTCTCAAGTGCTCCGATTAAAGGCATGAGCCACCAACGCCCAGGGACAATTATAGTTTCTTTGAGAATTTTTGTTATAAAAAGTGAGGTGTGTGTATGTGGAGGGGGAGTCACTGGAAAGTTGGCTCTTGGAGGCTACTCTTCCAGAGGACCTGGTCTGTTGCCCTCTGCTGTCTTCCAGGGCACCAGCACATACGTGGCACGCAAAAATATACACCAAAAAAAAAAAAAAAATCTAAGGTAGGGGAAGTGTCCAACAGCTAAGGGTTGAATCATGATCTTAAAAAGATTGACTTTAACACGTGGGTAAGACTTAACACAAAGAGACACCTTTTTATCACGAACACATGCTTATTTTTCATTATGTTTTTAAAAAACGTCTATTATTACAAACATGGTTTTTAGGCTGTACTAAGCTTGGATTGTTTCCAGGCCTGGATCCCACGTGCTCTTCCATGGTCGCCATGGCTACCTGCCCCGGAACCTTGGCGTGATGACGCTGGTTTCCGGCGGGATTTTTAGAGTGACGAACAGTTTTGGACCAAGCGACCATGAGAGGCCCAGAGCTCGGGCCCCAAACAAGCATGGAGGGGGACGTACTGGACACCCTGGAGGCCCTGGGGTGAGTGTTCTCGCGGACCGCTTCCCCGGGGACGTACCCTGGCCCTGCGCGTGGCCGCTACAGCCGGGCGCGCGCGCTTCCCAGGCCCGCGGTGTGTGGGGCCGTGCACAGGCCTCTGCGCTCCCGCTACCCGGGATCTGGTGAGCCGGGGGCACGGAGCGGCTGTGGCGAGAGCAGGCCAGGCTGGCGCGGGGCAGGGTCCCGCTGTGCTGCGCGTCGCCTTCACCCCGCAGCCGGCTCTCCCCGGCCTTCGGGGCCCTTCTGTGGGGGATGTATAGCCCGCGCGCGCCGCACCGCACCGCAGTCGCCTCTGGACCGTTGTCGTAGCACGCCGCTCAGTCTTTGGCTTTCCCTGGGCTCAGGAGGGCTCACTCCAGCTTCTTAGATCGGAGACTCTCTTAGTTGAATGCGAGTCCCGATACTGAACCTTCTCTGCTCCTTAATGCACGTTTGTGTGGTAGGCAGGGAAGAAATGACAGTTTTCAGAGCGACATTGGCTGTAAAGGATCTACGGTCTGTTGCGGTTCATAATTCTGGGCGTTAGGTGCTATGACGGAGGACCACAGGGGTGGCGGCGATGATGCGATCTGGACACGTATTACTCCCTCCCATCCTGGTTTTCTTAACAACCCTGCTCCTTCCTTTTTCGTGAACTTCATCCAGTTCCCGGAAAACAGGTGCAGTGTCAGCTTCTTTCACTGATGGATTCCTGGCGACATACTAGAGTGGGGTCTTGGGTAAATGAATGAAGAAGTAGAAAGGAGGGTGCATACATATAAGCAAAGGTCCAAACGGTTGAGGGTTGATAAACAAATCTCTTAACTCTAGTTGGTGCCATCTGCACAGTCGTTTGCCCCCTTACGTGCAAGGGGTAACTGTGTTCTTAAAGAAGCCCGAAACCTTCAGGCCCCGCCCCCTTACTTTTGTTCCCTTAAACTTCTTTGTTCCACCAGCAAGTGTTACTTTTATTGTACTCTGATAATGCATACTTTGTTGTTACCCAGCATAATAGGACCTTGCGTTCACTTGATCTTGAATAAAATGTTTGTTAAATGAAGTAACAGAACCAGGAATTGTTTCAGGGCCATTTGTACTTTTGTGAAATTCTCTTAGTTCTCCTGGAGATGTAATTATATACTAAGTTATAGTAGTGGGAAGTGTTTTGGCTCTCAAGTCCGACTTTTGAAATTTTGGGGTTCTTGTAAGTCATTTATGAAGTGGGAAGACAGTGGGTTTTATCCTTTTTTTTTTTTTTTTTTGGTTTTTCGAGACAGGGTTTCTCTGTATTGTTTTGGAGGTTGTCCTGGAACTCACTCTGTAGACCAGGCTGGCCTCTAACAGACAGAGATCCGCCTGCCTCTGCCTCCCGAGTGCTGGGATCAAAGGCGTGCACCACCAACGCCTGTCGGGTTTTATCCTTCTTAAGCTTATTGTTCTTACTCTAGTGTTTAAGAAAGTGAAATTTGCAGTGTTGTTAACATTTACACTAAGGAACATTTGTTTACATTGAATATGAGAGTAAAACAGCTTGCACACTTTAGAATTGGGTTTTCCTGAAACGGTGAAGGACAAGATTGTGAAGTTTGAAAACTCCCTTTAGGATGATGAAATGTGGAAAAAGTTACTGATTATATATGTTGAAATTGATCACTGTCTCCAGATCTCCATGAAGATTGTGAGTAATGTATTTCCATCAGTGAAAGTGCTTTAGGTTGTCATGTAAAGTAAGAAATTAATGAAATGACTCAAATAGGAAAACTGTGAAGACCAGTTCAGAGATGCAGCAGGTTACAAAAGGGAACCAGTTAGGAACCAGTTTCCTCTTCCATGAAGTGAGCATCCTCACACAGATGATTCCATGCTTCTTTAGTTCTAGTGGTCTGTGATTTTATGAAGAGTCCAGCTCAGCTAGTTGGTCAGGCTGTACATTGCAACCTTGCTGATGAAGAGGTTCTGGTCTGGCATACACTACCAACTCCCCGAGTCCTCATCTTCAGAGGCATTTTATAATGTTGCAGATGTTCCAGAACTTCACAGTCTAGGGTGAAAACCACTGTTTAGTTCAGACATTTATGGAGCATGACTGTGTCTTGGACACTATTCCCAGGAGTCAGTGGTGAGCAAAACAGACTGGTGCCTGACTTTATGGAGCTCACAGCTAAGTGCAAAAACATAATGTCCATTTCTACACTGTACTAAGTGCTTCAGAGGAGAAAGCAGGGTGATAGAACAAGAGGCTATGGCTTAGTGATAGTTCCCTGAAGAAATGATAGTTCAGCTGAAGTGGGAAGGATGAGTAGAGATTAACTAACCGAGATTAGATGGGGAAGGAAGCTGGTGTGTTCTGAATGTTAGAGTAGATGTGAAGACCTTGAATCCTGCAGGATCATGCTGTGTGTTAGAACAAAAGGAGGTAATATGGCTGGGAGGCATTGTGAAGGACTGCAGAGTTTGAAGGGGACCAGAGCATGCAGTACAGTACCTTTACAGCTAGCTATGTGGTTCCTTTCCTTCTTTATCTACTGGTAGGACCTCCCAGACAATTAGAACATCGATTGGGGAATTTTATGTAATGGTTTGGGAAAGACATGAAGCTGCTTAGTGGTAGTGGGTGCATCATAGTGTAGAGGAAAGTGCATTAGTGATGCATCCTTAGTACTCAAGGATTCAAAATTGGATAGGGAAGACAGTGAAGATAGGAGGGAGCCAGGAAGTAAGGAGGACACAGAGGAACAACTGGCGTGGAGGTAGCAGCCAGGTCAAAGAACATTTGTTGGTGAATGATGACAAAAGCTGGGGAGATAGGAGGTATGGTCAGGGAGGGGCGTGCTTGAGTTCATGATTCGGGAAGTATATTAGTTCTGGTGATGGCAAAGTCCAGGGACAGAGTGAGTGGCATGAAGTGGAGAAAGTTGGTAAAAAGGAGGCTGGGGAGTTGAAGGCTCAGGGTGTTAGATAGGTCTTGCTTGTGGGCTTTGGAGAGACACAGCATAATGAGCAGGGGTGGAGAAGAAAATTGACCAGAACAGTGTTAGCTGCACAAGAGGCTCACAGCTGGAAACCCTAGAGAAACTGGCCAGAACTGTGGACAGCAGTGGGTAGGTGTGAGAGCAAGGAGAACAAAACTCCCAAGGAGCTGCTGGATGGTAAAGTAGTAAACACTTCAGGGCTAGGCTTAGCCTGAGATGAGGTGGAGATGGTAGGGGAGCGCTTTACACATTGGACAGCATGGGTGTGGAAAGCTAAATTGGCAGCAGGACCAGTAGGGTGGGTTAGTGGCAGGAAAAAAAGGGCTCGTATTGCTTAGGCTGATATTAAAAAAATTAATAGGGGGCTGGAGAGATGACTCAGTTTTTAAAAGCACTGGCTGTTCTTCCAGAAAACCCACGTTCAATTCCCAGCACCCACATGGGGGCTCACAAACTATTTGTAACTATAGTTCCAGGAGATCTGGTGTCATCTTCTGGCCACAGGTACCAGGCATTTCCCTAGTACACAATCATGCAAGCAAAACACCCATATTCATAAAATAATAAATTAGAAAGAAGGAAAAAAATAGGCCTGGCTGATGTCTGTTTGAAGAAGGTTCACAACACTTTAATGGACTAAAGCCATGGTTCTTTTATCAATCTTGAGGCAATGTCAAACTAGGAACTGCAGTTCCTGTGAGAGGCAGTGGGTCCTCTAGGTTTCTGGAGTAACAGTAACAATTCCCCAATTAAATAAGAATGTGAGAATGCTAGCCTCAGTCAGCAACAGAATTTCATTGAAATCAAAGTGGCAGACTACACCTCTTACATGCTTGCTGTGTGTTTTCATAGAGAAAGTTGTGGCGACAGTAAGAAAAAGCACCCGGGGCTCTGCTCCTGCAGACCGGCTGCTGGTGGATGCTGCCCAAAGACTAGGAAAGCAGTTTCTAGACTGTACCCAGCACTGCTGACTTAGACTGCATCTGGACAGATACACTGTTTCTCATCCAACTTATTATTATCCCACAGAATAATTTTAGATACTGCTGCAGTATATAAAAAAGAGACATTTCTGGAAGGTTCTGTAGGCAGTAGAGAACCCTAGGCAGTAGAGATTAGCCAGTTGCCATGATTATGGCCATCCTGAGTGAGTTTCTACTTCTCTCACCTATAAAGTGAGCCCAACAGTAGTACTACTCACTGTGTGGGGTAATATGCACATTTGGCACTGGCCTAGCATAATCTGAGCAGTTTACAGATAGGATGCATTCCTGATCCACATTCAGGTTTGCTAGATGCACTGTTTTCTCTGTTTTTCCCTTACCCAATGAGTTAAGATGTGGAAGATTATGGTTTTGTTTTTCCTTTTCCCTAAAGTTAGTATTTTTGGTGATTTGATCAGTTTTTATTGAAATTTATAATTGAGATTTCAATGAAAAATGACCTATGTATAACTTAGATAATCATTTTATTGTAGAAATGAACGCAAGTAGGGAAATGAATGTTTACTCTTAGTCTCAGTAGGAGACTTTGTAAGGCCTAGAGGGAGGAGGAATATGTAGAGGGGCAGCCTTTAGCCGGTGCAGTGTCCCAGCCACAGCTCTGCCTTGTTTTGGCTGCATCATCTCAGTTATTGTTTATTTTATTTAGTTACAGGAGTTGACAGAGGTTCAAGAGTTTATGCAGAGTGTTTAAATCTGAAACCATCACTTATCTGTTGGCATTACAGAATTAGACTAACATGGACTTCACAACATTGCTACACAGATTAAATAATTAAATAATTTATAAATATGCATGTCTAACCCTGTGCCTGACTTACTGTTTAAATCTTATTAAGACTTAATTTCTTTATCCGCAAAATGCAGATTTGAAAATATTCTTCATGAAAGACAACTAATTTTTGACTCAGCAGGAGGTAAAAATACAAAAGTTTGGTAACTTTAGTGAGTTATGGAGGAATGGGTATTATTTCTACAGTAGAGAAAATGTATGATTTATTATCAGTAAATGCTAGATTTATTTACCTACTTCACATACCTGTGTACTCAAGGTTACATAACAAGTTCTCTGTAGAAAAGGGTGACAAGTAGGAAAAGTGTAAGGAGCCCTGCAGTGATATGTCTGCAGGTTTGTCTGAAGTAACCCTGTGTGTGTAAGTGAGGTGCCAAACAGTGTGTAGCAGCTCTCTCTTATCTCAAAGAGAAAAAAAGGATGTTGATTTTTAGGTTAAAAATAATTGCAGCCCCAAATGAATGAATATGGTTATCTATGGGGTGGAAGTCCAGTAGAGGAGACACGATTCAGATGACAAACTGGGAATGTGGTTACACACAGCTGTAGTTCAGCACTGAGGAGGCAGAGGTAGGAAGAGCTAGCCTGACCTGTACACTGAGGCCCTGCTTAAATTAAAAACAGACAAAAACATGGTTGGCTAGATTTGTGTGGATGTACCTTATTTTGAAAGTTAGACTTTAAAACTATATATTCTATATAATTATACAGCAAAATCATAAAAGTGAAATGAAAACAAAAAGCAATTCCTAAAAATTAAAAAGCAAGCAAAACTGTTTATCAAACTGTTGACTAGGTGAATGGTCTAGGAATGAATTCATATTGGATTTTGAGTTAAAGCTTCCTCTCTGGAAGAGAAATCCTGACTGGATTGTCAGGAAAATAAGGAACTATTTGCAAATCATGGGGACAAGTCATAAGACTCACTGTCCATGTGAATAAGCTTCTAATCAGAGAGAGAGTGCAATTTAATCTCAAAGTGAAAGCTGAGTAGCTTCTATTACATTGAATATGCTAAAATCTGTGAGTATATGATGCCTAAGAAAACCTTAGTTGCAGAAAGAGTAAGTGTAGAAAATTATTATCTAATACAGTTGAGGTGACATATAAGGTATCTTGATAATTTAGTGTATTGGCTAATACAATTTATGGAAGTACATAAATAATAAACTATGAAATAAATAATATAGGTTAAGATTCTCTTTAGCTTTACTAGAAATTTGCATTTATGCTTTTTTTCACTGTATTTCTTACTTTTGGGACAACACAATATGGGGCTATTAAGAGCATTTGGTATTGTGGCTTTTGTTGTTTTTTGTTTTTCTGTTTTTTTTTTCCCCGAGTCAGGGTTTCTCTGTGGCTTTGGAGGCTGTCCTGGAACCAGCTCTTGTAAACCAAGCTGGTCTTGAACTCACAGAGATCCGCCTGCCTCTGCCTCCCGAGTGCTAGGACTAAGGGCGTGTGCTGAACTAAAGGTGTGCACCATCTAGCTTGTATTGTGTTATTTATATTTTAAACTTCTAGAAAAATGTGAAAAGCCAAATACTAGTTACATAGTGTAAGAATAATCAGTAAATTGTATAGCTATTTCACTCTGTCCTGAAAGTAGCTGTGATCACAAATCAATGTAGTCAATGTCTATATTCTGGGAAAATAATTATAAAAACAGGCAGCATGACTTGGCAGAGGGGACTAGAGGGTTCCCCCTAGAGAAGCTAAGAAATTAAAAAAAAAGAGAATTTAGAAGTAAACAAGAAAAATTAAGAGTTCTTTTGCTCTTACCTTTCCTCCTTCCATATCCCACAACCTCAAATTGATGGCCTCTTTTTATTTATTATTGTTACATATATCTCTCTCAGTTTACACACTAATATATAAATGCATCCTGCTGAGTCCATTTTTGTTGGTATATAGTTTCAGGGCTGGATATCTTGCCATGCTGGCCACTATTGTAGTTCTCTGGTGTTGCAGCAGGGTAGGACTATTAATGCTGCCCTCCTTGGCAGCTTGTCTAGTACTTTCTGGTACATGGGAGCTAGGTTGCAGGAAGGAGGCTTTCTTTGGGTTAGATTCAGCTCTATGTCTTCAGCAGTAGGGGCTTACTTTCAACCTCTGAGAGGTATCCAAGGACAATAGCAACAGTCTATATTGTTTGGGGAGTCATCTGGACTCCCGTGGGGCTATGGATCTGAACAGAGATCAATAGAAAAAATAAAAATGGTAGGACACAGCCCCCAAAATGTTCATCATCCTTAGCAGTCAGGGAAATGCAAACTAAAACAACTTCATCTCACCCTCATTGGAATGGCTACTATCAAACAATCTTTCTTCATTTTTAAACTGTTGTTTCTTCCTTTCTAGGTATAAGGGTCCATTGTTAGAGGAGCAGGCGCTCTCCAAGGCAGCAGAGAGTGGACTGTCTTCACCTGAGTTTTCGGAGCTCTGCGTTTGGTTAGGCTCTCAAATAAAGTCCTTGTGCAACTTGGAAGAAAGCATCACTTCTGCCGGTATTGCTGCCTGCTCTGTCTACCTGTCCACTTAATAGGAAAGCAAATTGTATCTTTGTCAACAGTGCGACCACTGTATAAGGAAAAACCACTAGTACGAGGAACCTCAGTACTGGGCATTAGAAAGTCGGAATTAAATTTTGTAGTAATCCAAAGCTGATTTTTAAATTTGCCCTAAAACTGTAAGCCATTACTGCCTGTCTGGAAAAGGTAGTACGAATTGGCTACTTTAAAAACTGAAGCTTTTCACTATGACTCATTTTGAGTTAAGTTTTAAAAATATGTGCTCTTCAATTTAGATGTTATTCTAGTCTTTATCTTAGAACATGGGTTCACATGGCAATATTGTGATTATAAACCTCTTAGTACCTTATGCTGCTCTTTCATTTCATCATCATCTGGTAACTGGAGTCTTCCTGCATTTGGTAGAATTTCACATAGTCCGATAAAGTGAAAAATGAGTAACTATCAGGTATTCACCGAGGAAAAAAACAGCATTCTTTTCCAAAGCTAATTGCTTTCCTTGTCATACATGGCAGAACTCATTTGAAATAAAATATCTCCATTTAAAGCATGATGCAGATTCCTCATAATTATATTAAAGATAGCAGTGAAGGTAAATTCCATGATTGCATTCATTATCTGAACACAAGAGAACACAAGAGAAGCAGTAGACTTGGACAATTGCCCTGGAACCAGTTAATAGCTATTGCTCCTACAAATGCTTTTGAATATTCTGGTTGCTAATACTCAAAATGCCCTGCTTATCTGATTTCATGGAGACTCCTTTTGGAGAGACTTAAATGTAGAAATATTTTCAGTCCTGTGATCATGTCCATCATGTTCTTTTTTTTTTTTTTTTTTTTTTTTTTTTTTTGGTTTTATGAGACAGGGTTTCTCTGTATTGTTTTGGAGGCTGTCGGCCCAGCCTGGACTCGAACTCACAGAGATCCGCCTGCCTCTGCCTCCCGAGTGCTGGGATTAAAGGCGTGCGCCACCACCGCCCGGCTCCGTCATGTTCTTAAACCTAGATGTCACCTTCTGTGTGCAGACAATTATGTGCTTGCTTCCAACCAAGCGTTGCAGTTACCTATGTAAAGATGAAAGTGAAAGTGAAAATCTGGACCTGAATGTAAAATGGAAATTAACTGATGAGTTTTACAGTGGTGGATTATGTGGTAAGTGCTCAATGAATACCTATGACTTCTTTTTTAAAGGGAGAGATGACCTAGAGAGCTTCCAGCTTGAGATAAGTGGATTTTTAAAAGAGATGGCCTGTCCGTACTCGGTACTCGTATCGGGAGATATTAAAGACCGCCTCACGACGAAGGATGACTGCTTGAAACTTCTGTGTAAGTTGTCTTTCCTTGAACATTTAATGCATGTGTTCAACAAGTTCTTGTTATTTTCAGATCAGAATTCATACTCTGATTATTGAGACATTAGATACCTTACGTACTGAAAAGACTTTTGTGTTTGACTAAAAATATTGCACCATCTTAGGCATTCTTACGTAAACAGCTTACACTCTACTCGCATACATTTAACACTCACAGTGTAGTCAGTAAAACCCCGTGTTTGTGCTTTCTGCTGTATTTTAGCAAGTTGTCCTTTGCCTGGCTCATCCCTCACCATCTCTGAAGCCTTACTTAATTTTTTAAAATTCTTGGGAAAATTAGGCTGTTGTGCTGATTACTGTAGTCTTCTCAGCAGTGATGGGCACAGGTTGACTGTTGAGACACATTTATTGATCACCTTCTCTTAAACCAGAAACTGCCCTAGGCACAAGGAATACATCATAGAAAATCAGATAAAATGTAGTTTGTGCCTTCAGGGTTCTTGATTGAACCTTATTTTTATTAGGGGGGTTTGGAGCATATATCAATCTGTATTCCTACTGATGCTCTAAGGGTGCCCTTAGAGTATTATGTAGAACTTTGTGTTGTTTTTAGAATTCATTGAACAATGGCTATTTGTCATTCAAGTTTGAGGAGTTCTGTAGCTGCTCTTCTCATTTGTTCTTTGTAATTTAGTCTTGATTTTGATATTGTTAATACTTGTGTATGTAATTTGGTTCAGCAATTGTTTTTCAAGAAATTCTCATGCATGTATTAATGTTATGTTTCCGATTTTTTTGTTACAGTGTTTTTAAGTACAGAACTTCAAGCTTTACAGATATTGCAGAAGAAGAAACATAAAAATTCTCAGTTAGATAAAAACAGCGAAATTTGCCAGGAAGTTCAAGCTGTGTGTGATGCCCTTGGGGTCCCCAAGTCAAACACTTCTGACATTCCACTCCTACTGAGCCAAGTGGAATCAAAGGTATTATTTTTATTTACATATATATGTACTATATATACATATACATACATATTTTATCAAAAATTCAACTAAATGCTAACATGTCAACGCTGTATTCTAATTGTGATATGGAGTATCAATTTCAACAGAAACTTGTCTTACTAGAGGTTTATATTGGTGGTAAAGCCCTGGCCTACCATTTGGAAGGTCCTGGGTGCCCTCCACAGCACCAAAACAAAATATTATCCCCAAATTTTTATATGTAAGATAAATTTTTGATTTATGTTTAATATACATATAATTTAATTTGTAATTAATATTCAAGAATTATATCTTGATGAATGAGTCTTAAGGCTTTGCCACATGTTCCCCTGATAAAAGTCACTTTTCAAATTCAACGATTACTTTCTTAGCTAGAGTTGTAATGCAATACACTGAAAGAAGTGGTTATTTTGCAAGGTGAAAGACACTCGCTTCCCCACACCCCATGGGATATTTGCACTCTAATTTCTTTGGCAGTGAACAAGCATACTTTCTTGATTATTTAAGAAGTGTGTATTGTGTAGCGAATGAATAAAGAAGTACACCGATAGGGTAGTTAAAAGAACTATAATCTTGTACCTCCTGCGTTTTACCTTATCATACCAGCTGGACTGTTTACCTAAAAATAGCTTCCTGAGCCATTCAGTTCCTATCAGAAGTAAAAACTTCTGTATTTTATTTTTTCTGCAAATGATATTCCTACAAGATACTCTGTTATGATTGAGAAAGACATTTTTTGCCTTCTAACTTAAGCTGTTCAGTAATGTGACAGCAAATCCATGTCATTTACTGTTAAGCATATTTACATGTTGTGATAATAGGTGTTTTTATTGCTTGCAATCTCCATGGGAGGAAACTGAGGTACTGTTTCCCAGTGTGGTAGACCTGGTGTTTGAGAGTAAATCTTTCTCTGTCCTGCCAGCCAGCTCCCAAATAATAACACAGAGACTTCTTGTTAACTATGAAAGCTTGGCCATAGCTTAGACTTATTTTTAACTACCTCTTGTAACTTAAATTAACCCATTTCTATTAATCTATATTCTGTCACGTACTGCCCAGGCATCTCCTACTTCCTGCCTAGCTATGGACTGTTCAGCTCTTTGTTAAACCCATCACAAGCAGTATATCTTCACACAGTGTACAAATAGCCCACACTTGAGTGTAGGCAGTCAGTTCCCAGAACTGCTCCTCTTGGCTCAGTCTATAGCAAGTTTTTTTAAGTCTCATTGCATTTTAGAAATCTAAGAAATTACAAATGTATATACATTTAATGTCATCTTGAGTGAGAGGTGACAGCTGACTCATAGTTGTTAAGATATATATAACCCTACAGATAGTTAAGGTGATGGGAAGCTTACAGAAACATGTAACATGAGTAAGTAAAAGACCCAGAGACTGATACTGGGGTTCAAACTTCAAGTTGAAGATCAGAAAAGCAAAGCAACCAGCCACTAGCTGTCACCTCTAGTTCAGCCTGAATGGGCTGATTCTGTCTCCATGAGCTCTCACCAAGTCTCAAATTGTAATCTCTCCTCAGCATGACTGGAGAATGAATGCCTCATACTGAATCCTGATACTGACTTATGTACTTTTCATGAGTCCTGGGATTAAAGGTGTGAGCTATAATTCTCCTTTAGACTGATGCACTTGTGTAGGTCTGGGTGACCCTGGACTCTCAGAGACCAGTCTATCTCTTAATCCTAAGTACTAGGATTAAAGGTGTGTACCACCACCTCCTAGCTTCTGGCTGGTGGGATTAAAGGTGTGTGCCTGACTTCTATGGCTTGTGACTGACTTTGCTTTCTGAATCCTCAGGCAAGTTTTAATAAATCATAAGTAATATATTACTACAGAAACAGCATGTTTTAAGAAAATTAGTGAATTTAAGCCAGGCATTGGTGGTGCACGCCTTTAATCCCAGCACTTGGGAGGCAGAGGCAGGTGAAGCTCAGTGAGTTTGAGACCAGCCTGGCCTATAGAGTGAGTGCCAGGATATGCTCCAAAGCTACACAGAGAAACCCTGACTCGGAAAAACACAAAAACAAAAAACAAAAACAACAACAACAACAAAAAAACCCATAAACCAAAAAAAAAAAAAAACTCAAACCCAAAAAACAAAAAAAGAAAATGAATTTAGAAGTGATACCACATCTCATACAGTAACTATATGGTCAGTGTAGAGATAGATGGAATTTGGGGCAATGCTGCAAGGCTCATTCTATGATAATGTTTACGTATAACTCTCAAGATCCAATCTGCATGTCAAAATCTACCAATATGAAATGTACAAAGTAATGAATTTATTATAATTATTGACTAACTTTAGAACATTCTTAACACCAAAACCCTTGCTCCTGTTTACAGTTTTTCTTATTATCATCCCAGTTTTTAAGGTGTTTTGAATTTTTCTTTGAGTTTGTTTTGTAGTCATTCACTTTATTTTCCCTGCATGCATGGATGCGTGCCACATGCATGCTGTTGGGCCCTGTGGGATTGGGTTACAGATGGTTCTGAGCCACCATATGCTTTCTGGTAATGGAGCCTAGATCCTCTCAAAGAGCAACGAGTGCTCTTAATCGTTGAGCCATCTCTTCAGCCTCAGTTTGAATTCTTAAAGCAACATTACTGCTTCTGATTATTTGCTGTGGCTGTTGTATAAGACACCAAACCACTCTTTAGTTAGGAGGACGAGCCCAACTTAGAATGTTACTCTGCAGTCAGTTTCTTCAGGCTTAATTACTGTTATTGGAACCTGCGATGATACTAAAACATAATTGTCTAATATCTTGTTTTGAGAATAAAAATGATTCCTTAAATCAGTGGCCTTGTAAAAGTGATTAAAATGTTTGTGTCAGGACTGCAATAAGCGAGTTTATCCCATGTTGTCTTGTAGAGCACTAAAATAAGAAGTACAAATTGCAGTATTTATTTGAGAAAAATTGATGTACTTATTAAATGTCATGGTTTCTCTCTTGAGAGTTTACCAGAAAATAAAGAGTTCTATCTTGAAAAGAAATTCCAACTTGATTATACACACACCATTTTAACTTCACTTGTATACTCTCTTACTCTGGCAAGAATGCTCTGGTTCTTATGCACTGGCAATTTGGCGCTGCTATGACCCTCTTTCCTGCTGGCTGAAGATTTGTTTTAGTTGTTTTATTTTGACATGATTATTATTTGGTGTTCAAAACAACACATCAAATAAGAATAAGATGGTTTTAAATTATATATGTGTATTTTTTGTAATCTTTCATATTTACTTTTAGGTGAAGGATATTCTCTCTAAAGTCCAGAAAAACCATGTGGGAAAACCACTGCTAAAGGTTGATTTAAGTTCAGAACAGGCAGTAAGTGTTCCTCTTACTAATTCTATAACTAAATTAAGGCATCCCTATACTGGTTCATTTTTACCGTTTGTTACCATCGTGAAGAGACCTAGCTCACAGCTTTAGACTCAAGGTGTACATTGGCAAAGTGCCAGCTCTGGCAGCGCCACCTCTGTCACTTGCTGATGGCTAGGAAGACTGGTGTGTGTGCTTGTGAAGCACATACCAGATGAAAAGTCATGAGGCTGGTATCCCACAGTTCTCTTCAGGGTCATTCCTACAGGGAACCTAAAACTTTTCCCTGAAGACTCTCTGCCCCCTTTCCTATTCCTTCTCAACCCCTGCCACCTTGCAGACCAGACCTCAACACAGGTACTTTTGAGGGGACAAGCAGCATCCAGTCCATTGCACTGGTTTCCTTAGTATTTTGGAGAACTAGAACAGATATTCTAGAGTACTTTATCATAATACTTTAATCAAGTTATTAATTTAAAATGTCTACCTAGCCAAGAATATTTATAGTGACCAATATATTAGCAGAGCTGTGATTTGAAAAGGTAGTTTGTGAGACCAGCAAGATGGACAGTTGTTGGCATATTATTTCCATAGTGCGCACTGCTTAGCAAATTGATGTTTTACTTAAATAAATATATCTAATGAAAGATAAGCTTCTTTAATAGTTTCTGACCACTATAAATGTTTTATCATTAAATGTTAGTTAAATATTTTTCCATAGTCCCATAGGAACATAAAGTAATCATTAAGTATAGCATTATTTAAAAGATGGTAATATTCAAATTTCACTCAAAGAGCCTAATCTTGTGGTTTCATTCCCAAATTCTCTAGGAAAAACTGGAAAGAATCAATGATGCTCTTTCCTGTGAATATGAATGCCGCCGGCGGATGTTAATGAAACGGCTGGATGTGACTGTGCAGTCGTTTGGGTGGTCTGATAGAGCGAAGGTGAGACTGCTTTCCCGTTGGTGTCCTGTAGGTGGTAGTATGGGGCAGCTTCTGTCATGCTCTCTCTTGTTGTTAGTACCTAGGCGACTTTCACACTTTAATTCTATTCTGAACCACATGTTCAGTTTACCACTGCCCTTACATACAATGATTATTGTCTCCTATAGATTCATGTTTGCTGCTGAGTTCTTCCCTGGCTTCCTCCTTTGGTTTTAATTTGCACGGTTTTATTTATTTAAAGGTTTTAATTTTTAAAAAAGATTTGTTTATTATGTACACAGTGTTCTGCCAGCATGTATGCCTGCATGCCAGAGATGGCATCTGATGTTATAGATGATTGTGAGCCACCATGTGTATTCTGGGAATTGAACTCAGGACCTCTGGAAGAGCAGCCAGTGCTCTTAACCTCTGAGCCATCTTTGCAGCCCACAGTTTGATTTATGTTATTGTAAAACAGGTATTTCTGTGAGCGCACTAAGGTGGCGATAGTAACTAATGAAGAAAACAGTGTGGAAACAGGTTTAGGTAGTACTGATGCTGGAATAGGTTTCTTGTTTCTTAGGCATGTCTGCTCATTGAAGAGAGTTGTGGGATGAAGCCATTCCCAAATAGCTTTCCAGGTAGCTTAGTGCCTTTAACCTTTTCTAGTGTCAGTCTGGGCTTCTCTCTGCTCCTCCCTCATCATAGTGTAAAAACCTTCCAAACAGTAAATAGGGACAATCATAGGACCTTCCCTCTGTCAAGGACTGCTATCTTGGGCTCTGTGATGGCCAATACACGACAGTCATTGATTGCCATTGTGTGTCTAGCAGCTTTTAGTCCATACCCTTCTGGTGCCTGTTATTCAACTTTGACCACAAGTGGAGTTCTGATTGTTGTTATTGTTTGGAGCAATTGAGCAGTTCTTCCTGTGTGATAACACTTGGTGTCACATACCACTGTGATACATATTCTAGAAGCTTGGTCCCCACCATGGTAGTGGTCAGAGGAGTCTACTGGAAGATAGGTCATCCGCCCTCATGAATGGTCTAATCCTGGTCTCGAGGTTTGGGCTTATAAATGAATTAGTGATTTGTTTAAAGTGCAGCTGTCATGAAGTTGGCCCTTTGTAACACAGTTTTCTCGTTCCATGTTTTCTATTTCATTAATTTTGCCTTCTGCGGGGCTTGGGATTGGCTGCTGGTTGCTTTTCAGGACCCTTGAGATGCACCAGTAGGTTGCTGATTTGACATCCGTGAGAAGACTATCTTTTTAGAACCCCAGAGGTTCGGAGAAGTTGTCTTCTCATTGTCACTTATCACTAGGAATTTTACATTTTCTTGTATTTCTTAGATGATGCACTGCTAATTCAAACATGTATTGTTTAGTCTCCAAATCTTTAATTTTATTTCATTGTGTTCTAATAGGACATAAGGGATTCTCTCTCTCTCTCTCTCTCTCTCTCTCTCTCTCTCTCTCTCTCTCTCTCTCTCTCTCTCTTTTGTATTTTTTGAGACTTAAATTTGGGTCCTATTATAGGTTTGATTTTTGGAAAATGTTCTATCTGTTGCTAAAAAAATCTGTGTTTCTTGTCTGTTAGGTGGAATATTCTGCATATATCTGTTATATATATAGTCTAGTTGATCCATAGTGAATTTTAGATCTCAGTTTCTTTTCTTGCTTTCAGTTTAGAAGATTTATCTAAATATGAGAGGGGAGTATTGAAGCCACAACCCCCATTATTGTGTCAAGACTTATGTGGCCTTTTATGCCTTTTAGTGTATGAAATTAGGGTCTCCAATATATTCAGTGCAAAATGTTTATAATTATTGTATCTTCTTGATAAATTGTCTCTATGTAATGTCCCTTTTTATGTCTTCTAATTAGTCTTAGTTTGTGTTGTGGAATATTTGTTTACACTGTAAAGATGTATCTCTGCCTAAGGCACTTTTGATTGGTTTAATAAAGAGCTAAATTACCAATAGTAATGGCAGGAGAGAATAGGCAGGACTTCTGGAGAGAGGGAGGACTCTGGGAAGAAGAGAGGTGGGGATAGCAGTGAGACATTCAGTACAAAGCACAGGTAACTGAGACACATGGCAGAATGTGGAGACAGGTTAATTAAAGTTATAAGAGCTAGTTGGAAAAAAGCCTAAGCTAAGTACAGGCTTTCATAATTAATAATAAGTCTCGGTGTCATTATTTGTGTACTGGTGGTCCTGACAAGAAAGTATTACTACAGGTTTGAAGTTTACTTTATCTGGTGTAGGGATAACTATGCCTGCTTGTTTACAGTTTCCATTTGCTTGGTAATTTGTTTTTCATTTTTCATATCTTCGCTAGCTAAGTGTTAGTTGGAGACAGTATATGGTTGGTTCTTGTTTTTTAATCCAGTCTATTAGTCTATATCTTTATAGTGGTGAATTGAGGCCATTTACATTTTAGGTTATTACAGACAGAGGCTTGCTATTTCTTATACATATTCTTAGTGATGTTCTGTTTTGCTGAATTACTGATACTTCTTTTCCTTTTCCTGTGTTAGTTTTGAGGGTTTGCTTAGTTGCTGTGTTGGATGTGGTTGTTTCTTCCCCAGCTCTGGTTTGTTTATCTGAACTGCTCATGTGCTCTGCCTGCCTGCCTGCCTCTCTCCTTCCTTCCGATAAAGTACTCTAATAAGAATTTTCTACAGTGCTGGTGTTTGTTGTGAATTGCCTTGATTTATATGAAATATCCGTATTTTTTTCCCACTAGTTTTGGAAGATGGCTTTTCTGGGAATAGCATTCCTGGTTCACAGTTGTTTACTTTCAGAGCTTGAAATATTTCATCCCAAGGTCTTCTGGCTTTTATGGTTGCTGATGAAAAGTCTGGAGTAATCCTGGTATTTCTGCCTTTGTGTGTGAGTTGATGTGTTCCTGTGCTTTGGGGGTTATTTTTCTATGTTGTATTTGACATTCTGACTGTGACATGTAGTGAGGAGTTTCATCTCTGGTCATATCTGGAGTTCTATATACTTTTTGTGTTTGAATACTATTTCTCTAAGTTTGGGAAGTTTTGTGCTATATCTTCAATAAATAGTGTCTATTCCATTTCATTTTAACTCTGAACTTCTACACCAGACCCTTGGGAAATTTCATTCATGTTCCTTAATATTTTCCTCTTTGTATGTCTATGTTTTTGTCTCAGCTTTGTCCTCTGTCCCTGACCGTGTGCTACTGTGCTCTTGTCTATTAATGATACTTTCAGATGTGACTTTTATTTGATAAACCATACCAAGTATATATCTGTTTCTTTTTCAATATTTCAGTCTCCTTGATGAATTTTTCCTTCATAATTTGGACACCTGCCTCTAATTTTATTGACTGTCATTCATTTTAGAGACTGTCTCATTGAGGTCATGGGTGGAATTCCTTAATTTGTGCATCTGTTTCTTTGAACCTTTATATGACCATTAATTCTTTGCAAAGTCTTTGAATTATTTCTCAGATACTCAGCTATCTATCTCTATAGCTTTGGATTGCCTCATAGGTGTGTTGGTCCGATGGGGATGGGTCACGGATGGTGGCTGTGTCATAGTATTTGTGTTTCTATGTTGTATTATGTTGTATTTTGTTCATCTGTTGGAGTGGGCTTGTCTTTAACTTTTGACTTCCTCTTCCTCCAGTCCAGTTAAATGTGTTATATTCTTCCTAGAGCAGTGGTTTTCAACCTTCCTAGTGTTGCAACCCTTTAATACAGTTACTCATGTTGTGATGACCCCAACCATAAAATTATTTTTGTTGCTATTTTGCTTTTTTTAATTTTAAATTTTTTTATTTATTTAAATTTAAAAAAGGCTTGCTTTACAATCCCAGCTCCCTCTCCCTCCCCTCCTTCCCCGCCCCCCACCAGCTTCCTCAGCCCCCCATCCAATCCCCACTCGACTCTCCAGGGAAGGAGAGACCCTTCATGGGGCATCTCCAAAGTCTGTCATATCATCTGGGGCAGGGCCTAGGCCCTCCCCCATGTGTCCAGGCTGAGAGAGCATCCCTCCAGGTGGAATGGGCTCCCAAAGTCCACTTGGATGCCAGAGATAAATAATGATCTAGTACCTGAGGCCCCAAAGATTGCGGAGACCTCCTCACTGATACCCATGTTCATGGGTTCTGGATCAGTCCCATGCTGGCCTCATCAGTCTGGGGTCCATGAGCTCTCCCTTGTTCAGGTCAGCTGTTTCTGTAGGTTTCACCCACCTGGTCATGACCCCTTTGCTCATTGCTCCTCCCTTTCTGCAACTGGGTTCCAGGAGTTTAGTTCAGTGTTTAGGTGTGGGTGTCTGCCTCTGCTTCCATCAGCCACTGGATGGAGACTCTAGGATGGCATACAAGGTAGTCATCAGTCCCATTATCGGGGAAGGGCATGTAAGGCAGCCTCTCCACTATTGGTTAGATTGCCAGTTGGTGTTATCCATGTAGATCTCTGGAAATCTCGTTAGTGCCAGATTTTCTCCTCAAACCTATAATGACTCCCTCTATTATGATATCTCTCATCCTGCCCTCCTCTATTCTATCCCTGACTCAACTTTCCTGCTCCCCCATGTCCTCCTCTCCCCCTCTCTTTTCCCCTTCACTTTACCCCAGCTCCCTGTCCCCTCCCACAATGCTCCCAGTCCACTCAGGAGATCCTGTCCCATCCCCCTTCTCTGGGGTACCATGCATATCTCTCTTAGGGTCCTCCCTGTTTCCCAGATTCTCTGGTGCTGGGATTGTAGGCTGGCATGCCCCTGTTTCATGTCTAAAATTCATATATGAGTGAGTACATACCATGTTTGTCTTTTTGTGTCTGGGTTACCCCATTCAGGATGGTTTCTTCTAGTGCCATTCATTTTCCTGCAAATTTCAAGATTCCATTGTTTTTTTTTTTCCACTGAGTAGTACTCCATTGTGTAAATGTACCACATTTTCTCTATCCATTCTTCAGTTGAGGGGCATCTAGGCTGCTTCCAAGTTCTGACTATTACAAATAATGCTGCTATGAACATAGT